TAAGTAGCTGGAGAGATTTCCTACTGTTAAATAAGGGTAATGATTACTTTCATATACAAACGTTTCATCTGCAGGGAATGGTGGAGAACGTTCATATTTCTATGTAGCAAATTGTCATATTAAACTTTTTGTTAAATATTCATTTGTATGCAACTTATAGCTGATCTGATTGGAAACTAAAAGTTGCCTGTATATCACACACCCACACGCACACGCACACGCACACGCGCACGCACATTCATACTCACACTCACACTCACACTCACACTCACACTCACACTCACACTCACACTCACACTCTACCACACTCACACTCTTACACTCTTACACTCTCACACTCTCACACTCTCACACTCTCACACACTCACACACTCACACACTCACACACTCACACACTCACACACACACACACACACACTCACTCACTCACTCACTCACACTCTCACACACTCACACACTCACACTCTCACACTCTCACACTCTTACACACTCACACACTCTTACACACTCACACACTCACACACTCACACACACACACACTCACACACTCATTCACTCACTTACTCACTCTAACACACAACAAATATATTTTATTATTGTCATTACTTATTGTTTTATAGAATGGTACAATAAAGATTGACTTTCCATTTGTGAGATTTAGCATTGGTAGTTTATCTTTTTGCCATCTTTACTATTTTGAAAGAAAATATATCAAATAAAAGTATTTTTATGAATACAAAAGGGCTATAACCTCTTATTTGAAATATAACATATAGTGTCCACTATAGTTTTGTTTTATGAATTGTTGTTATACAAATTGCCACTTAGGAAGCAATTAGTAGGTCTGTGTGATCTCACCCTTACTTCCCTTTTACTTTTTCTTTCTTCTTTTTATAATACCTGTTAATAACAAGACTGTATTTTGTTACTATTAACATTATGGTTATTATAATATTAGTAACAATACTAATAGGAATAGAATATAAGAAATAATATCTCAGATTATCACAGAAAAAGGTAACAAGTGAGATAGTAGGACAAGTAATTGACACCTTGGTGACTAAGCATTTGTCAAGACATCTGTGTTTACATATAATAAAGTAAAGTCAAATTGACGTACATGTGGGTTAATATAAACCACCAGATTATTGTTATTTATTTATTTATTTTTCGCTTTTTGCTTTTTCTTTATTTTGTCAGGTGTTTTCTTTGAAACACCTGACTTAGGATCATATTTTTCACTCATACTGTATCATATTTTTCAGTTTCAGTATTAGTAGCCTGGATAGACTTTAGAAAAATACTGTTATTCCAGAATGATGTACTTCCTGTTGACAAAGGCCTGACAGAGGAGCAGCTACTGAATTGGACATTCTTGGTTGACACACTGAACTTCAATTTCTGGACCCCTGATGGAGAGCCAAAATATACTGTCAGAGACAAAGGAAGGGTACGTAGTGTAGGGAATGTTATGTGCATTTTATTGTTATTACTTGTTTCATTATTATGAATATTGGATTGCAGACTTTACTTAGATTGGTTTATATATTTTGTGAATGTTCCAAAGTTGGTGTAGGTATTATCAAATATTTTCTTTATTCTCAAACAGAAGCGAACTGGATATATGGCCATGGTTGCTGCTATTAACCGTGCTATCGATGAGGGCAAGAAGATTTATGATCCAAATTACTACTCCAAATTGACCCTTGATGACATTAAACACATATTTCGGTCCGAGACCAAGTCTTCTATGCCACTGTTTGATGAACGAGTTCGAGTACTCGGTGAAGTGGGCAAAAAGCTGAATGAGGAATATGAAGGAACCTTTCTGAATGTTCTTAAAAAGGCAGACTGCAGTGCCTTGAAACTAGTGGACATTGTAACTAGTGAATTTGAGTGTTTTAGGGATGTTGCAAAGTATGAGGGGCAGGAAGTGGCCATGTTCAAGAGGGCACAGATTTTGGCGAGTGATATCTGGGTCCTCTTTAAGGGAGAGGGCCTAGGAGCATTCACAGATATTGACAAACTGACAATATTTGCAGATTATAGAGTACCTCAGGCCATGGCTCATTTTGGAGTGCTGAAGTACTCTCCTTCCCTGGAGGAGAAGCTGAAGAAGCAACACATCTTTCAGAGTGGAGAGCAAGAAGAGGTACTTGAAGGATACTTGTTTGACTAAGTTCTTTAATTGCAATTTTATTTGTATAAAAGATCCAGAAATTAATAAGTATTAATTTTTTCATATTTAAAGATTAACTTGTTGATTCAAGGAGGAAGAGTCAGGTTATATACACGGTCTCTTATGGTGCTGTTATGTTATATATATTTTTTAAAACCTGGACTGCTTCAGACTTGTGTTGCAATTCCAAGGTCTACCTATTCTTACTGATTAACCCTATGGCTCAATTTTCTTGGAAGAAGGTTTTGATATTGTTGATATTAATGTTATTTTAATGAAAGTGATAATGATAAGAAAATAATAGTAATAGTCACATAATATTGATAATAAATGTTTTTTTAAGGGTGAGCTCTGGTAGACCAAGTAATTGACTTGTGGGGCCATCTGTTTGTTAAAAGAAAAAAAGAAAACAAAATAAAAATAAAATGATGTCATATTGGATAGTGCATATATCAGAGGGTTAAAGTACCTTCTCATTTATGCTATACACATTATGCCAAGGATAACAGATAAATAATTTATGATGATATTTGGATATTTATAGACTTCACTCATGGACTGCCAACAGCTTATATATATGTTGATAAATATTATCACCTTCCAACTTTGCTATAATTTTGATGTGTTAGTTATATGATGATTTTTTAGTATAATGTTTTCTGATCAGGGGGCTCATCTTGGCTGGCAGGTAATTGTTTCATTTTGAATGTTTTCTTATTTTAATTCCAAAATTTCCTCTTCTGAAACAGGTTGAGATCCGAGGCTGCTCCATCCATGCTGCAGAGCTGATTGTAGAAAGGATGAAAGATCTCTTATCACAGTCAGGTTGTTCTGCATCAATTAATAGTGCTAAGGTTGATTTCTTCCTCTGGGACTATCGGCTGACAAATGCGGCTGCACTGGAGAGTGTGCCTTACCATAGAGTCAGATGCATTTATTATTAGAGAGGTTTTTAAAGGAAGTTTGTTGAATGGTGTGGTGATTGGCACAATTGTAATTGGAGTACAACTTACAGCCACCAGTTTTAATACTTTTACGTTCATGATACCATTCAAGAGTTTCCATAATCAACTTGCCAAACAATTAAAAACAGTGTATGTATTTTTTTTATGTACATGAGGAAGTATAAGGTGTATAAAATATTTTTATATATGCAATAGCAAATCTATGGTTAAGTTGGAAAATAAAGTTTGTTAGTGAGTTGTATTGTTGTCCAAGTGTTGGTGTCTGGGCTAGTCAAAGCAGTAACAATTATGAAAATATAATAAATGTGAAATTGTCATATCAGATTGTCTGCATGCAGAGGGGGCAACCCCATCAACAGGCAAATTGCTTGCTTGTGCCAGAGCAGTACCTGCAGGCACTGCTCAAGTATGGGGATGGGCTTTTAGGTGTTATCTTTTACTTGTTTTGATTGTAGAATTTAACATTCCTCTCATAATAACTAAATAGCTCAGATGTACTATAACTATCATAGCTGCCTTACAGAATCAATATTGAGAATTGGAGCTGGACCATACAGTATAGAAGGATACAGAGAGAGACTGAATACTGATCAGATGACTGTGTGCAAATGTTGGTTGGCAGGGTTGTGTTTACATGTCAGGCACTGCATTGAAATGTCTTTTTGAAGTAAAACAAAACCAAACAAAAAAACAACAACAGGGATATGATTTTTGTGGGTATAATTATGTGAGTACCAGTCCACTGAAATGCACATGCTATTGATTGCTTTATCTTTGTTGGGATTTGTCCAGTTTCATAGTCACTGTAACATTATTAACTGGATTATAAGTGTGTTACACTTAATACAATTTTTAGTTTTTAATGAGAAGTTGTTATTATAATATTACCATTCCATATAAAAGTATACTGGAAAAATACAGGTACTTTTTTATTATTTGAGAAAGACATTTTTGTATTCTTGTACCATTTTTTCATAACTAATTTTGACAGCATTACTCTGATATGAATTTATATTAGATGATAGGAAAAAAATACTTAGGAAGCTACTTCCTATAAACCGCCAGGAATCAGATTATGGTGAAACTGTAGTTGGTCTTGTTTATTAACATTACAACTCTGATTACTTTTGGTAAAAATCTGAACAAGTTATTTATGTTCTGCTTAGAGGGAATTTAGTTGACAATTTTTTTTACATTTCAAGTGTACAAGGAAAAAAATGTTTTTTTTTTTCTCTCTCTTTTTTTAAAAAATCTATTATTGTAATTTAACAAGAAAACAAAGTGAATACAAGGGATATGAAAATATTTACACTTCAATCCATAATTTATGGATATGCATATCACTATTGAAAAGCTATTTTGAATAAATACAAATTTCATACCTCAAGGAAAGTGTATATTTGATCCGCCTTAGCAAGTGAGTTGGAATGCTCAACCAAATGCATTTCAGATATTGGAGTATCAAGAATCTGCTGCAATTTTCCTTTCAAATGATGCCTGCTTAACCATATGCTGCAGGGAAAATGCTGTGCTCATTTTTTACATATTTGTGAAATGTCTGTCTCTGCACACAGATGGCTCTGTTAGTGCTTAGCCACAAAGAGTTAACCCATTGCCGCCGGGGATGGCTTGTATGTACATGCCATGCCCACTGCGAGTCGACTTGTTCGATTGTTTTTACACATAGATGGCTACACTTGTACTAAGTGTCCAATGAGCCAATTACGAGTACTGCCTGTCTCGCCTGTTCACCCTTTTCATCGATTTACGAAAATATTTAACATTATCCTAATTTGCTGTTAAAAATAACACCATCTATATTTATAGTACTAGTAAAAATACGTTTTTCCCGCCAATTCTATGAAAGGTGAAATCAGGACTAGCAGAGCCATCTATGGGCAGAGATATTTCACAAAAATATAAAAAATGAGTACTGCATTTCCCCCATTTTTTGTTCATTTTCCCCAGCGGCAATGGATTAATTAGTAGACCTGCTGACCTTACTTAATTTTACCATTCCTTGAATTATACCATTCCTATGAATATCGATGGTGTCATTTTTAGTATAGAAATTATAATTACACTAATGTTATAAATATTAGTAACCACAAAATAAGTTAACGTAAAATATTTTCATAAATCAAGGAAAAGGGTAAACAGGCGAGGCAGGCAGTACTCGTAACTGGCTCATTGGTGACTTAGTACAAGTGTAGCCATCTATGTTTAAAAACGATTGATAAAGTACTCACAATGGTAATGGGTTCATGTTAACTTGGATACATACCTGCCACATTCACTGTGATTTTAATGTTTTTTTTATTGACATAAATGGCTCCACTAGTGCTTAGTCACTAAGGAGTCATCTGGTAGACCTACCAGATCTTATTTGTGTACCCTATTCCTTGAATTTTTTACATTTTTATTTTTGTTATTATTATTGTTGTTAATAGCATTATAATGATGATGATAATAATAATAATAATAATAATAATGTTGATGTTAACTATAATAATGAGTCACAAAAATGAAACTTTAGTCAGGAAAATATAAAGAATGGGTTAACAGGGGAGGTCAGGTAGGTTAAGCACCTGAGAAGCCATCTATATATAATCAAACTTTACAAAACAAATGTTGTGGACAGTGCATGTACCAAGTGCCAGTGTTAATCCAAGAACAGAGTAGAGATACACCTGTTTGAATCTGTGAAAATTTTATTTTGAAGATAATGACATCTTGAGAAATTAGACTAAATATTATTGAAATACTTGTATTAAGTCTAAAAAATACCACAGAATGCAACATGATGTTACTCATTAAAGTTTCAGATATTACAGCAGTTCTGTGGAAAGAGGGGAAGTGGTCATTCAGAATCAGTGGTCAGACTGTGATCCATTAGATTACATATGATTGTGCTTGTTGGACTTCAATGGGTTATCAAGCTTAATATCTGTAATTTTCTGTTATCACTTCCAAATTTTCATTATAAATATTTTTTTTTCACAAAATACTTGAAAACTTGTTTCATCTAATATTTTTAATTAAAGTATGTTGAAATGACATTAAAGAAAAATATAGGCAAGCCATGCACACAATACAAAGTTACAGTATATCTAAAAACTTCAAAACCTAAAGAATGTGAAGGGGTATAGATAAAGAAACACAGCTTGTAATCACAGTTTATTTTCATAAAATGGAAACAAAGTAACGTCTAGCAACACTGATGTTTATACTGAAGACACTTTGAAAATCATAGAACGTAGGTCTGAGTCAAGAGCACTGGGTGTGTCAATATATAGATATTTGAACAAGTATATTGGTCTTCCTTTTTTATTTTTGATCCCAGTCAGCAAATATGGGGTAAAAAGGATGGCTGATGTAATGTTATTGTATGTTAATAGTCTTATTAGGGTGACTACAAGCACCTTTTTTTTCTTTGATACAGGATATGGGAAAAATAGTGTTAAAACTTTTCCAGACAAGTAAAATTTCAACTTAACAGCCTTTAAAATACATCTCATAAAAAAAGAAAACATTCACTATGTTTCTTTGTTTCTGTAAGTACTTGAAAGAGACCTGAAAATATGTGCAGTGCATGCATACAATTTAATACATAATAAGTGTATCAATTTACATACTCAAGTTATTATAAAATAAATAGTTGTATTTCTGTACTTTGTATCTGAAATAAAAAAGAAGCATCTTACTTAAGCACCAAAAGTTCTGGCCAGAAGAAGAATACAAATAGTTTCATGGATGGCATACTGATAATGCATGTAGTTTTTGTTTGTATTATGATGCCTTGACATGTGCTCGAGAGAGAAAAAAAGAAAAGAAAAAAAAAAAAAAATGTTTTCAATCCTTTTGTTTCCATGATGATCAAACTAGGAGGCAAATTTATCCCATTTTCATTTTAAATAAAACCCCAAAAGAGATTTTTAAAAATTTCTCAACTATTACTTTAAACTTTATATACAGAGAAATATTAATGCTTTACTCATAAGTGTAAGGATAATATATTTCTATTTATTTGTATTTTCTGTGAATGTAATACTGCTGATAGTTTGTAATACATTCTCCCAGTTGTAATATTTTTCGTTTTAAAGGTTACTTAAAGACTCAGCCGACATATATAAAGGACAACACCCATGTAAATAAAATCACAAATCCCAGTTGTAATATTTTTCGTTTTAAAGGTTACTTAAAGACTCAGCCGACATATATAAAGGACAACACCCATGTAAATAAAATCACAAAAGTAAACTGTAGATACCAATTAAATTTTCTAATGCCAATTTCTCTTCACCATTTTTTTTTTCTTTTTTTTTTCAATTAGTATGATCTACAATATGATAAAAAGAGAATTAGTAATTCAAACTTCCCAATATTTAACCTAACCAAACCTAGTATCTTAAAAACTCATTAAAAATATGGTAATCAAAGTCAAGTGTATAAAAATCTAACACTTTTTAACTTATTATTTAATCAAAGACAAACAAGAAATCAAGAAGAAAGGGATTTTTAAAAATTCTTAGAATGGGAGAGAAGAGAAAAAAAAAAATCAAAGGCAGTGATCAAGTTCTGTGTAAAGATTTAAATTGGTGAATACTTGTGGAATAAGAGGAGTTGTGAAAAAAATTGTCTACAACCTGAATGTAGGCTGATTACAAGCTTATAAACATTTCACTCATTATGAGGTCAGACGAACAGAGCCACTTTTTACGTAGTCGGTCCTTCCTCACACTTGTGGCCCTAAGTAAACCACGTTATGACATACTGTACTTAAAACTGTATCTAACCATCTCACATCCTCATGGAAGTAGCATCTTTGCATATTTTAGTTGAAAGCAACTTTCTAAATGATGTAATTAGGATTTCTGAGATTTCCAGTTTAAGTCAATACTCATCTTAGTTGCTTAATAAGAAATTTGAGTGCAGAGTGGTTCACATGCTTATTTTTTAAGTCACTCAAATCTACAAGGAGGTTCTCTCTAAGATGACTGATAAAAACAGTGCTCTGAAGACCACACAATATACTGAGAGAAAAGCTTTTTAATAATCTAGACTTGAGACATAATATTCCTCGTTGAAGAAGCATCAACAGTAAGCTCAGGTTATTTCCACAACAGACTAGTCAAGTCCAAATAAAGCCATCAGGAGAACAGTTGATGTCTAACATGCTATATGCACCTAATAGTAACTGTACAAGTATCCCTGACAAAAGAGTTAGTTTCTTCGATCTAAGTACACGAAATACCTTGATGGATAATTAGAAAGATGATTATGAATTTACAGTTTAAGATGCTGATTAAAAATTGTTCTCCTGGTGGTGCTTGCGATGCCAAACACTTGAGACGGTAAGACACACTAATGAGTAAATATGAGTAAGGTTAGCAGACCAAAAAGCAATTAGTGCAGCAGTGGATTGTTTCCTCCACAGTTCTGAACACAAAACCTAGACCACAATAGTCCATGATGATCAACCTTATTATCAATATTACATGAGAAGAAAAACTTATATTCTATGAAATCGTAGAGATACTTGAATTGGAGTAATAACCAGTTTATAATAAAATATATAAATATTTCTATTTACCCTTTCCATCTGCTATATTTCTTAAAATGTTCACTCACCCTTGAATAAGTATACCATTTTAAGATAATTTTATTCCAGAGCATTTACACAACTAATCATTAATCTATGCCATTATGATGCCTGACAATATATAGTTCAACCTGCAACCCTTTAATCCTAGGCATGAGTGACCTACCTCAGAACTAAACAGTTGTACTATTTACTTTGAGCTTCAAGTGAGCACCAAAAATTTCAATACAATCCTTTACGTATCACAAAAAGACAGATACGTATCTAAAATCCAGTAACAAAAAGACTGTAAATATTCATAACAATCTAAAACAAAAGCTGATAAAAAATTATTGTTTTTTTCACAATCACTGATGCCTGAAGGAATGGATATCACAACAAACTGCTTGATTATTGTATGAGATGACGTGCTCTACAGTAGCATTTCTAGTCGAGATTTCACAACCTGACCAAGCTTTACCTTTCTTCTAAACTTCCTTCAAAAGTTTCATTTCAAGGTACAATACAGTATCAATAAAGTAAAGAGAGTTAAATCTCAAGTTTACATATGTGATATATGAAATTTAATTATTGTTATGAGAAATTACAATGAGTTGCTGCAATGTACTTCATTGCCATGTTAATGCACTTGTGAATTATTCAATGCTTAAATTACATTCTCTTGTCACTATAGAAGGAATTAGCAGCAAATGAACTGCTGGTAACTTTTCATATCCAGTCACCCACCATTTTGTTGATTCTATTGTTTACAGAATCTTGGAAACAGTAAAACTTAAATGGATGACACAACACCTAGTATACAAATTCCAGAATATACACTTTAATGTTTTCATCCCATCCCAGTAGTGCAATCATGAATGAGAGAATGAAATACATTCACAAGTGCAATTACAGAATCGGACCTGCCAGTGAATTTAGCAGTTTATTTTCTCATAAATCAATAAAGATATTTAACTCCCAATGCTAGAACAAGCCATGCCCAAGATCAGTATGTTTTGGGGGTGAGGAAACACAGGGAAAGAGTGAGAAATATAGCGGCTTGAACATGATAATAACAGACAATGATGGTAATATTTTCAAGTAGGTCTGAGTAACAGCTCTGTTTGCAGACCTTAGTATGCATGTTATAATACTTGTTGATATGTTAGACTGTGCCATATTATTGCTCCAACTTACCCTGTGTGTTATCATACCTCTTGCTGTCCATACACATGCAAGCCACCAAATGCTCTATGCATGAAACTTGGCTTTATT